CTGCACAGACCCCAGCAGAGGTCAGGGCCCTGCACTCCCGGAGCCATTCACCGCCACCCACCCATTCAAGGGATCCACCACGATGGCCCTAGGGTGAGTCATCTTCCCTTCGATCAACGTCTTCCTGGTCTGGGCGGCCTTCTCCAGCCGCGCCACGCTGATGGTCTTCTTGGGGCCGTCGTCCGTCCAGTACAGGTTGTTCCCCATCCAGTCCACGGCGATCCCTTCCACGTTGTGGATGCCTGCGTGGGAGAGAGACCACGATTCAGAAACCTCCGCCAGCTGGCCGAGGACGTGCCGGAGGCAGAGAGGCCAAGTGGATGCGACAGGCCCGTACGCATCCCGGCGCTTGCTTGGATTAGCCACCAAACAAAGCCCCAAGGAAAGGACCTGGATCCATCCCTACCCATGGGGAATTCCACCTGCAGCATCGCGCCGGGCCTGGGTCGCCACCCTCCAGTTCCCATTCTAAGCCAACGGGTCACTTTGGCAGTCCCAGGACCCGTCGCCTGCCTGGCCCAGGGAGTGCTATGTTGCGTCACAGTGCCCAGGGAGGGCTGGCACGCGACCATCACTAATGCAAGCTGCGACACTCCACCGGTGAGCTGGCCCGGCTTTACCGCTAGGCAGGAGATGCAGGAGCCAACACAGAACAACCTGCTGTGTAGCAACCAGGCGAGGGACCGAAATGAGTTGCTTAGCAGGAGCCCGTCCGCTAAAAGGGGTGCAGGATTTCGCTCGGGGCAGGTGGGGTGGTCTCCTAGCAACGCCAGATACCTAATACAGGCTGGCTCCCCAGGCAGGTTTCCCTGAGGTTCCTCATGGTCATGCTCCAGGGCATGACTGACCTAGCTGAAGGGTGGTCAGGAGGAAATGCCTCTGGCGGGCAGGTTAGCCTGTAAACTGCAGGGTTTCAGCCCCCTCCCTCTGCAGCGGCTGGTGCTGGCCACTGCTGGGGGACAGAGCGGTCAGCTAGACGGACCCTGGTCCAATCCAGTCTGGCAAGTCCCGTGCTCCTGGGACACCCTGGGGGGGGGAATAACAGCAGCAGCCCTCAGGCTCAGATCTGTCCGGGGACACCTCCTGGGGGTGGAGAAAGGAAGACGCACTGTCCTCCTGGCAATCCCGGGCCTGGAGCCAGCGCTCCCCCGGAGCCAGAGGGGAGGGTCCCCCGTTGCCTTCGCTGGGCCGTGCGCTGGCAGAGCCCAAGGGCTGCCCCCCCCGGCCCGTACCATCTTTCAGGATGGTCTCGCGCTCCGTCCCGTCGATCTTCTGGCGCCCGATCAGATAGCTGGTGGTGTCAGCGAAGTAGACGAAGCCCGTCTCGGCGTGGAAGTCAAGGGCCCGGGGATTCATCAGGTTCTCGATGGGGATCATGTGCTCGTCTGGCACCTTGGCCCCCATGTCCATGCCCCGGATGATGCCGGGGCGACCCTTCCCGTACACCAGGAACAGCTCATGCTCCGGCTCTGCAAGGCAAAGGGGGCGGGGTGGGGCCGGGCTGGAAGGACAGAGTCAGGCCGGTTCCCAGCACGCCGGTTCTGAGACACGCGGCGCTCCCGGCGCTGGGATCACGCATGCACGCAGCGACACAGTGCAGGGTCCCAGCGTGCAATGCTCTGGCTTGCCCCGTGACAATCATGATGCAAGGAAGCAACTGCCCAGGAGATTGGGGCTGAATGAAAGAGGAGACCAGCAATGCAAAACCCACTGATCGCCTGGAACCCCTGCCCCACTGGCAGGGTTACCCCGCCCCCCAGCTCCAAGGGAGGGGGATCTGCTCTCCGGGGAGAGGGGATTGAGGATGTGGGCTGCAGCCCACTGAATTAGCTTCATCAGCGGGGGCGCAAAGGAACCGACAGGCCTGTGCCCCGTGAGCCGTCAGCTCACGCCGTTAGCAGCAGGTTTCGAGGCCCGTGCGCTCTGGCTGACCGGCCCAACAGCCACCTGGAGTTTTGGGGAGCTGGGGAAGGTGCGCTGAAGGGGGACGTTTCTGCCAGGTAACCACCAGAACTCTGAACCGACGCTAGGCTGGCATATTTTAGGATAAAATGTTGGCAAATGCTCAACCACAAAGTTGCCGCGGCAACCAACTGACGTCTATGGTAATAAGTGCAAATTACGAATACGCAGACCTATAGGATACAGGTGTGGAAACATTATTAGGGTGAGGAAGTTACACATAGCCAAGGCAGGCTGGGCATATGGATGAGTATGGGGCCCCCAGGCCCCATCACAGCCCAGAGCCCCCTGTACGAAGGGGGGGCCGATCTCAGTCTGGAGCTGGGCTCGCTTGGCAGGCCAGGAACAGGGTTGACCTGCGTCTCTTTCCGCCAGATCCCCGAGGCAGGCTGGATGTCTGCCACCTTCTTACGTGGGTCGGTGCTTTGGGGTCTTTACAGAAAGCTTTGCCCTGCCCTCAGTGCGAGCCTCTAGGATGGGGCCAGAACCAGGAACTGAAGGAGATCGCCTGGATTCTGCTGGGCCAGATTCTGGGACCAGAACCCTGCAATCCCCCAGCTCGTTGACTCAGAATTAATTGGGAACCAACAATAACCCCTCACCACTAAGGAAGGGGCCACCGGGCTGAGCCGAGCTGAAGGAGGCTCTCTGGGAGCGGACCAGCTTTGGGAAAAGGTGTAAGATGAGCTTCACGACAGACGATTGTTTTTTTGCTAACAAAGCCAAGCTCCGGGGAAGGGAGCGAGTTTGGACTTCACAGCGGGCGCAGGCTGGGAAAATTCCCACACCGCGGAGGTCACCGCACAGACCCCACCGGGTCGCCGGGCGGCTGTTTGATCCGGCACAGCCAGCGTCACCACAACGTGGCGCTGAGCGGCACCAAACTGACTTTTTGCTCTGCGGCTCGCATGACGCCCTCGGTATTAACAACATGCAGGGAAACAAATCCATGCGTCAGCAAATCCCTCTGAAACTTCCGCTGAAATTACCCACCGCTCAGGATGAGGGCTGGGGTGGGGAAAAGGGGAAATTGAGCAACACCCAGTGACTAATGTAATTGTGTTTTTCACTTTGTGGCTTTTCACAACGGATCCTCTTGGCTGCCCCGGGTGAATTCGAGGTTGTACTGCTGCCCGGTGCTAGCCACAAGCCAAAGAAGAGTTTCTAGTCTCTAGTTGCCCCAGGAGGGGTTCAGGGCCAGTAAGATTCCCACCCCCCAATGGATATCCCGCCCCCCAGGGATAACGCCCGTTTTTGCAGCGCCCCAGAGCAAAAGCTTTTCCAGACCTAGCTGTGTCATTGTTCTGTCGCACGAATCACGCAACTGCACGCCCAAATGGAGCTCTGCATGCACGAGTGCCCCTTTGTGCAAGGAACGCCTGATTTGCACGCACAAATGCCTGTGTTCTGCATGCAGCTACCTCTGATTGCACAAGTGCCCACTGGAGTCTGCTACTGCCTGATTTGCACGCGCAAACGGGAGTGTTCGCCGTGCAGATACCGCCAGACTATCCGAACACTTCCCAATGTAACTGCCTTGCTCCCTCCCTTCCCAGAGGAGCTGCAGTTGGTTCTCCCTCCCCAGCCGACCCCCTGCTCCGGCTCCTGGATCAGGAACTCTACTCACTTTTGCAAGACTTCCCGTCGCTGCCCAAGCTGAATCCAGATCGGCACCGGCAGGTCCGGGTCTTGTGGCTGTTCCCGAGGAGGCAGATGTCGGAGCAGCCTCCAGGTTTGCCGAACTGGTCCGGTTCACAGGCGTGGCTCCGCACTTTAATGGCAAAGACCAAGCACCTGAGTTAGTGGCCGTGCATCGCCGTCTAGCCAACCCCATCAATGCGCTTCTAGGGCAAAGCCGCCTGCCCTTGGAAACCTCGTACAGAACGGCCTGCCAAGCCGCAAGGAGGTGGCATAACGTGAGGCAGAATGGCCTTGTGGTTACAGAACCGGGCTGGGGTCCATTCAATTCTCGCCTCTGCACCAGTTCCCTGTGTGATGACGCTGCTCAGCCAGGGCGCTCCCGGCACGCCAGTATCATTCTCCCACACTACAGAGAGGGAAACTGAGGCACGGCAAGAGGAAGGGACTTGTCCAAGGTCACCCAGGAAGTCAGTGGCAGAGCCCGGGCCTCCAGTGTGCCAGCCCAGAGCTCCATCCACCAGGCAACCCTGTCTCTTTCTTCTCCCGAGCCTATCTGTGGGGCAGGGACTCCCTCACCCTACCCAGGGCGACCCCCATCTTCCAGACACTCAATACCAGCGAGGACTGGGGCCCATTTCTGCAGCACTCCCAAGCTGGCTTTTGCCAATTCCGCTCCCCGCCCGGCCGGGCGCCTCCAGCGAGCCAGCGTCGCACGGAGACCGGCTCGGATCGCGCCGCGCTCCCCCGCGCCCAAATCCACAGCTTAGTTTTGTATTTTGGAAACCGCTGAGCGGGCCGGAGACGCTAAGAGGATTTTAAACTTGCAAATTGATTAACTAAAGGGAAGGCGGGGGGAGAGGGGGACAATCCACCCTGCACTGGAGCCTTTAACCACTCCAAAGGGTTTCTAGCAAACAGGAGCATCAGGCATGGACAGGTTAGCGCCAGAGAGGGGAGGGAACCAGCAGCCGTACGTAAGGGCCATTAATATTTCAAGAGGCCTCATCTGCTCCATTTTCCTTCCCTCTTTTCCGCGAACGGTAATTAATCAAGCCGGCCTGAGCCCCAGTCGGCGGAGCCGCTAGGGACAGCTGTCATTTCTCTCTCCTGGAGAGACAGCAGAGGGTGGAGACGCGCCAATGAGCAGCAACCGATTAAAATAGCAGCTCGGGCTACGCCAAGCAGAGGAATGAAACACTCAAGAGTCCCGGGGGGTCGGGGGGGAGAATGCGGGAGCCCCACGGGATGACGGCGCTGTTTGGTGCCCGAGCCCCCTCCACAGACAGTGGCTGGGAACCTAGGCCAACATCCACAAAAGTCTGGAGGCTCCTAAATACCTTCATGGATCTGGGCCCTAGCGGCTGACTCTGTGCTTTAAGGTAGTTCTGTGCCCACACGGGATCAGACAGATGGAGCAGCGGGTCCGACCCCGCACGGGCAGGACACGGGATCGGATGGAGCAGCGGGTCCGACCCCACACGGGCAGGACACGGGATCGGATGGAGCAGCGGGTCTGACCCCACACGGGCAGGATACGGGATCGGATGGACCACTGGGTCTGACCCTGCATGGGCAGGCTACAGGACTGGATGGACCGGTGGGTCTGTCCCCACATGGTGGGATACGGCACTAGATGAGGCGCAGAAGTCGGCTCCTACGTCCTTGTGAATCACGTCTAATTTCGAGCCTATGCCCCTCTGCTTTCCTGGAACAATCACGCTCCTTTGCCCGCTGGGCTTTCAGGCACGGAGAACACTTTGCTCAAACAAATAAGCCAGGCCCCAGGGCAGCGCGAAGCCAGACACCGCATTGTCCCGTCCCAGCCCACCAGGAGAACTGACAAGGCCTGCACCTTCGCTGGGCACTTCAATCACTTCCGAGGCTCCCAAGCCCTGACAGGTGAGGGAGGGGCTTGTTCCCGCACGCCAGCCCCTTACCTGTGGGCTGCCGTCGCTGGTGGTAGATATGCAGGGCTCCCCCTTTGTCCACCCTGGTGACCACCTGGTACTCGGTGCTGTTGAAGCGGTTGACCCGGATGACGCTGGTTTTCTGCTGGGCGTTGGCATTGTCCGAGTTGGTGGCGTAGAGGTAGTTCTCGAAGACGGTCAGGCCGTAGAGATGCTCGATCTGAAAGGCACCGCACCGGGGCGAGCGTGAGCAGACAGCCTCAGGAGCAGAGCTTGGGATCCCCGCCTCTCACACCCTCTGAGCACTAGTGCAGAGGGTGGCGCTTAACGCAGCGGCCTCCGGGGCACGATGGGAAACCATGGAAATCTGCCCTGACCACACTAGGGAAAGGAGGCAGGCCGAGCCAGTGGGTCGAGCCATGCACATGTCGGACCCCACTCAGCACCAGAACGGGGTGGGAAATGGTTTTCCCATCCCACGAGAATTTCCCAGATCTAAAAAAAAAACAACTCCTCTTGTTTCTTTTGTAGAAATTAACTCAAATTGCTAAACCAAACAGGCTGTTTGAGCCTTTGCTTTGAAAATGTTTGGCCAGTTTGGAAACTTTGTTTTTCCCCAAAAAACGTTTCCAATTGGGAGATTCCCTGGACCTGCCCCATTCCCGCAAACAGTTTCGGTTTGCACAAACTGGTCTTTTCTGATGAAAAACTGCTTAGTCGGAAAATTTCCAGTCGGCTCGACTGAGCAGCGAGCAGAGACAAGGCCGGTCAGTTACGGTTCCACGCCCGTTAAGGACCCACTACAGTGCCTCGGCGTCACACCGGGGCCTCTCCGAGGTCTCACTAGTTGCTACACCAGGGATGCTGTTAGAAGGTGCCGGGTAACATGCACTGTAACTGTGTGTCTGGGGAGCGGGGGTATCAACCCAGCCAGCATCGCAGGTATTACCGCCTAGACGTCCTGGCCTACAACTCTTGTTCGCGACCGTCTTCTAACACACCTGCAAATCCCCATCTAGACACGGCTGCTGGGTTTAAGAGCGGCTCACTTCTATTTAGCTTAAAGCTGCTCCTGCTCGACTTCGGCTACACTTGACTTAAACCAGACTCACAGAGTCCACACCGCCGTGTGCACCAGGGGTTTCAATATCGCTTTGTTAAATGAATCCGGTGCCACTGTGCCGGCACACAACCCCCGGGGCCAGAAGCCCAAACCTGCTTTGTCACTGCAGGGGTCTGTTTAGGAGCGGGCTGCGCTGCTGAAACGCCTGCGTCTAGACAAGGCCCTAGACCAGGCCAGCGGGGGTATCGAAAGGAAGCAAGAGCCGGGGTAAGCCTTTTGTACAGCGCCCGGCACAGGGCTGGGGCTCGGAGGCAATGCACCTAATAAATAACAGGGACAATGCACAGCTTTGATCTCTAGGGACCCCTCTCTGGCTGGCGCTCGCTCACCAAGATGCCCTGGATGATGGTGTGCCGGTTCTTGCCCTCGTAGTCCACCACCTCGATGTAGTCCAGATAGGCGTCGGCCCAGTACACCAGCCGGCTGACCAGGTCCAGGGTGATGCCATGGGGGAAGACGATCTTGCTATCCACCAGCTTGGTACGGTTCTGCCCGTCCATGTCGCAGCGCTCCACCTTGGGGATCTGCCCGTAGTCGGTGAAGAAGACTTTTCTGTGGGTGGAGGAAAGGGGGGACATGAGAGCTCAGAGGATGGGGGTGAGAATCTCCACGTGCGCTCAGGTCCACACCCACGCATGCACGCACACACCCACGCACCACTTGCTGCGATTACAAAAGCGTTTATTAGCCTGCTTGCAGGAGGAAGGAAAACTCAGGACCTAGCCACAGGTAAGGAACTTACCAGCTGGGGTCCCTGTACCCAGACGGACTTAGCTGGAGGTCCCAGGACTGCGAGGTCACCCGCCTCAGGCAGGCGGCCGATGGGCTCGTAAGACACTCAGGGCGCGGCTTCCAGCCGTAGGCCGGGCAGCCAGCGCAGCTCCCAGCCGCTCAGTCCCAGAGGCAGCTCCGCGGCTGGAGCCCGGCTGTGCCGACGCATTCTCCCTGCAGCGCCGGGAAGCCAGGCCCAGCTGCAGCGGAACCGGAGTAGGATCCCGGCGACAACCCCACAGAAGCTGACCCCGTTGAGCGAGACACCACGCTCGCTGAGGTCAGCCGCCAGCGTTCAGGCCCCGTGACCAGCTACCGTCTGTCACGTGCTGTCTACACTGGAGTTCTTCAACGCACTGTCGGCGGTGCGGCTGTGGTCATGCTGGTCCCAGGATATTGGAGAGACACGGTGGGTGAGGTCCTAACTTTTATTGGCGCAAATTCCGCCCATGAGAGAGACCAGCTTTGGAGCGACACGGAAAGCTTGTCTCTCCCACCAGCAGACGCTGGTCCAACCAAATATATCCCCTCCCCTCCCTTGTCTCTCTTGGTCAAACTGTGTGAGCTAAAACCATTTTACAAACACGCCCTGTGCGTCAGACAGGCCGCCGGGGCGGAGAAAGACACAGGCCTACGAGGACAACTTGGCGTGAGCGAGGAAAACGGGGCGCTTAGGCCTGGCGTAACTAGCTTACGTTAGCTAAACCCCAGCACTTTCCCGAGCGCACTCGGAGGGTAGTGGGATTTGAGCAGCTCTGGGGTGCCTTGCTCTTCCGGAGGCGCAAGGAGATTGCATTGAACAGCGGTTCTTTAAACGTCGCGGAGGGATATTCGGTCCAGCCTCAGCACGGTGGGGGCTGGACTAGATGACCTCGCGAGGTCCTGTCCAGCCAGACATTTCCATGGTTTTATAACGTGGCAACAAGAGCCAGCCAGGAGCTGTGTCCGGCCCCAGCTCATTCTGCTCCCTGGCCGGCCAGAACCCTGCATCCCAAAATGCATCGATTCCAAGACCAGGAGAGACCATTGTGCATAGTACAGGCCAAAGAACGCCCCCAAAATAATTCCTAGAGCAAGTCTCCAGTCCTGAGATCCCCCAGGCTATGCAGCCCAGGATGGCGTTAGGTCTTTGAGCAGCAGCTGATTTTCCAATCCCTCCGCCCCCGCAACTCTGTTTCAGAGTCACCGCTTCCCAGGAGAGAGTCTGCATTTACACGCAGACGTGACCTTCAGTCTCTGCAGCCTCGGCCAACCAGGACAGCAAGTCCACTCAGAAGTGCTACTTTGCATCCGCAGGAGGGCAAGTCACCCACCAGCTGAAGGCCAGGCCTCGCTAGCTTGCATTAGCTGAGCCCACCTGCACCCCGGCCGCGTCTCCTCCTCTAGACAAGGCCTGACTTGAAAAGCCTGGCGATGAAAAGGTGCTGGGAAAAACAAGCCTCCTTTGTAGCCGATATTTTGTTTGGTCAAGATGAGACCGCCGGGGAATGCACGTGGCTGGAGTTCACACGCGTGTGCACAGAGTACCTGGCAGGATTATACATGCACGCACACACTCACACGCCACCTGGCCAGATTTCACACGCACTTCCATTTCTGCCCACAGCAACGCCTTCCACTCCTGCTCTCGTTTTTTTCTGCAGCTACCAAGCACGCGGCCGGCCTGGCTGATGACTCAGCGTCACCAGACCAGCTCCCCGGCGCACACCATTTCCCAAAAGGCAGCTGCTCGGAGGGCCGTTACCTGAATTGAACACAGGATGTAAAGCTACGTGGAGGGAGAGACGTTCACCCTCCACTGGGGATATGACACATCTTAGTTCCTGAAAACTGTTATGGAGACAGTGCAATCCCGCTGACAGTGGCAGCTCCGTACCGCGTGGGTCAGTGGCTTGCATGTACGAGAGAGGTAAGAACTGAGCTGCCAGCAGAAAATGTCCCGGCCCGACGGGGAAGGAGCCTCACAGATGAGGATCTTTAGCCTTGCCGGGGGGTTAAGATGAGTTGAGTTTGCCAGGGCTCAAATCAAGATCAGCCCCAAGCCGCACCGCCCCAGGACAGAGAACGGGGCGGGGTCACAAGGCTCCGTCTCCGATGGTCGTTTAAAGCCGGGGTTCTCAACCTTGTTCTTTCTGAGGCCCCCTCAACATGCTATAAAATCTCCACGGCCCAGCTGTGCCACAACTGGGTTTCTGCATATAAAAGCCAGGGCCAGCGTTAAGGGGTAGCAAGCCGGGAAACAGCCCAGGGCACCACGCCACAGGGGGCTCTCCCAAAGCGAAGTTGCTCAGGCTTTGGCTTCAGCCCCAGGCGGCGGGCTCGGGGGCCTGGGCTGCAGTCCTGCACAGTGGGGCTTTGGCTTTCTGCCCTGGGCCCTAGCAAGTCTAACACCGGCCGTGCTTGGCGGACCCCCTGGAACCTGCTCGTGGCCCCCAGGCCCCTGGTTGAGAACCATTGGTTTAAAGGACCCTGGGTATAGAACAGAGCAATAAAAACACCAGGTGGGTTTTGCTGATATTCCCAGGCCTTGGGGGTTCCGGCACTGGACAGAGATCTGGTTTGAGTTCCCAGCTTTGCCGCGGACTCGCCGGGCGACCTGGGGCCGGTCTCTTGTCCTCCCCAGGCATGCCTCCCCGTCTGTGAAATGGGAAGAATGAGCCCTGCGGCCATGCAGGCCCTTGCTAGCGTGACCATCGCTCGCCCTGCGTCTGTGCCACGCCCGGCACAGCCGGGCCCCGATCTCAGCTGGGGCTGACGGGAAATACACCGGGAAGGACCAGGCAGACATGGATGAAGTTACCCATCTGGGGGAGCCAGGCCCCCTGGCTGGACTGACCAAAGGGCAGCGTCATGGTTTCCTATTGGTTTGTTACCGTCACAGGTCAGGTACCTCGGCTCAGCCGGCCTCTCCTCCCCCCCTCTTACCCCATGGCCGGGTCCAGCGCGATGCCCTTGGGGTTGTACAACTCCAGGTCGAGCAGCGTGACACAGGTGTCCCCGCTCCTGTTGCAGACGAAGATCCGGTCGTCGATGTCGTCCACAAAGTAGAAGTTGCCGGTGAGCCAGTCGATGGCCATCTGCTCTACGTCTAGGGTGGGACAAAGGCGGGTTAGGCGGACGGCGAGTGTTGGGGAGCCGGGCGCCGGGAAATCACAACCGCTGGGAGCTGAGCCATTCTGTGATTTCACAGCCCCCATGGGAGCGGAGCTCGGGTCCCCGCCGTGGGCGCTGAGCCCTCGGAAATCTGGTCTGGGCTCTGTGGGCAATCACACCCCGAGGCCGGCACTGCTTGGCCCCTTCCTTGACCAGCCTCCTGCTTTCACCCCCTAGCTGGGGCCCAGCCTACGCGACTGGGGAAGACTCAGAGAAACAGAGGAAATGGAATGGGGGGGGGGAGAAGGGGCAGGGAACAGAACAGGGAGGGAAGAGAAACAACAAAGAGAAGGTAGAGCAGACACGCCTAGACAGGAGGATCACCCCATTCTTATGGCTCAGGCCCCACTGGACATTTCAGCTGGGAATCTCTAAGCCACCTAAGGGATTTAGGACCCAACTCCCACAGGCCCTAATCCCCTTTGGAAACACCCCCCAGCTCTGTGTGAGCCTAGCAGCTCCTAATTCCATGCTGCCCCTCCTGGCTTCGGGTCTGACCGCTGCTGGGGCACGTCCCAGGATTAGTGGGAGAGAGGTTTCCAACCCTAGCACACCCCAGCGACGGGCGACATCCAACACACACACGCCGCTGCATGTCCCACGCCCTCCCCCTGCCAGCGAGAGAGAAGGGGAGAGCCGCGGACAACAGGACTCCTCTTCCCGCACCGTCCAGAACAACGGCAGCTGTCAGGCGCTGGCCCTGTCTGAACCCCCGCTGCCAGCCCATGCCTCTCCCCAGCTCCGGCTCATTCTGAGGGTGTTTCTAAATCCGCAGGGTTCACACATGAGTGTTGCTGTCCCAGTGCATGCCTTGCCCCTTCCGTGGGCAGGGTGATTATTGCAGCGGCCAGAGGCCCAGGCCGGGCTAGGTGCTGTATCCACACATGGCGAGCAAGGGGCCCTGCCCTGGAGAACCTGCATGCGAAATACACAAAGGCTGGGAGGGGAAACTGAGGCACGGAGAAGGGAAGCAGCTTGTCCAAGGGCATCCCGCAGAGTTGGGCCGCCTCATTCCTGGGCCAGAGCTGTTGCCCCTAAACCACACGGCCATCCCGAACCTCCGGGCCTACCCCTGCTGTGCACCGACAGCACATACAATCAGGTCCTTGGACACATCCTGCAATGCCCCCGTTATCCCCCACCAGCCGGGGTTTTCCCATCCCCTCGCCGATCTCCCCCCTCTCCAGGAGGTTGCAGAGAGAGTTTAGGGCGGGGGTGACTGCTCCATAGCTCTCCATGTCCACGTTGCTAGTCGCCCGCTCCTGCGGGCGATTCCCGCTGGGAGGGGTTGCCAGCACTTTAGAGGACAGGATAGGGGTGGCACTGCTGCCAAGGAGCTCGGGGCCAGAGCGGCTCACAAATCAAACACGAGTCAGCCGTGCGAAGCGGTTGTGAAAAAGGCTCGTGTCATCCCGGGGTGTGTGAACGGGAGCCTCGTGCAACAGACCCGGGCGGTAACTGTCCCACTCGACTCGGCCCTGGGGAGGCCTCGGCTGGAGGCTGGGCCCGGTTCTGGACCCGCCCGTTATGAGAGAGGTAGATAAATTAGAGGGTCTAGAGGAGAGCAACAAAGACAAAGGGTTCGAACCCCGGAGCTGTGCGGGAAGGTTAAAATCCCTGCGCAGGTTTTGTCTTGAGAAAGGAACCCTGAAGGGGGGCCTGAGAACAGGCTTCAGATCCGTTCAGGGCTGTTCGAACGGGGCTGGGGATTAACTGGAACAGGTTGGGCAAACTCCTGCCAGGACTGGTTGAGACTGACCGGGCCCTGCCTCAGCGCGGGGGGCTGGACTGGACGACCTCTTGAGGTCCCTGCGTTTCTCCGACTCTATGGTTCAAAGCCCCACACGCGGCAGACAGAGGAGCGTGGCTGTGATACAGGCCCGTGAAAAGGAACTTTCCAATGGCTTTCAAGGTCACAGGCAGGACAGCGCTGCACCGATGGGAGAATTGGCTCTAAAAGCCGCAGCCGGGGAGCAATCGTCCAGCGAGGGCCGCATTCACCGCAGCACAAAGCCGGGGCCGGGGCGGGGGGGGAAGCGCTGTGCGGCCGGCAGCGTGCCCGGGCTCCCGCAGGCAAGGCAAGGCGGAGGGGAACCGTGCGGCGTTAATCCGCCCGAGGAGCCAATGCAGGTGAGAGTCGGAACCTGGCACGCTGGGTTTAAGGAGCTGATTAAAAAAAAGAAAGCCCCTTAAATCGGATAAACTCAACGCACCCACATTCCTCCCCTGTGAACAGGCCAGCGTTGTGTGGAGCTGGCTTAGGGGGCCCGGGCCGCCTGGTGCAGAGAAATGTCTTCGTTTGACAACCCCCGTTCTTTTTCTTTTCGGGGGGCGGGGGTTTGTGATCTAGCATATAGGATACTGGGCTGGGAGTCAGGACACCTGGGTTCTATCCCAGCTCTGAACTGATTCCTAGTCACTCGCTGATCTAACCACTAGACACCATTCCCCTCCCAAAGCTGGGAACCGACCCCAAGACTCCCCGCCTTCCCTACACTCCAACCACTAGACTCCCCTCCCCTCTTAAAGGATGAAAGAAAACCCAGGTGTCTTGTCCAAGCTGTCAGAGGAAGGGGCTGTGTATGACAACTTTTGGGGTTTGATCCTATCTCTGGGAGGGGGAGAGCGAAAAGAACCCAGAAGTCCTGGATCCCAGTCCCTTCATCTGGCCTTCCTCTGTCTTGTCTACTGAGATGGTGAGCTCTTCGGGACAGGGACTTTCTACTACTTGGGTGTTTCTTAGACCCTCTGTAGCCTGTTTCTTTTCTTTCTTAACACGAAACATCTCCAAGGTGAGTAACTGCTTTGTTCAACTCCCAGCAGTGTGTAAGGAAGGCTGCAAATCTCATTAAAAAACAAACAAAAAAACAGACAGATGCACAAGTTACATTTACAAGGCACTTAAGCCAGAGATGGCCCAGTAAGGGCCGAATGAATCAGTCTCCCCGGCGCCCCCTTGGATAGCACCCATGGGTCTGTAATCCAAACAGAAAGCAGCCGGGGTGAGGGTCAATTTACAAAACCCACCGCTAGGAAGGAGGGGGAAAGGCTCTGGAAATATTTTTGGTGGCCGGTAGCAAGATTTGTCACAAAGACAGTGCCAAGACTGACACAAATCACGGCAAAGCATCGACTCCCAGCGTCTAACCACTTCCTCTCCGGCCCCAGCCTCGGCTGCAGAGCGGATGGTTCTTGAGCGAATCTCAGATAAGGCCAAACAGGCTGACTGTGCCCAGCACCAAGGGAGGAGAAACTCAACACAGCCTGCAAAGGGACCAGGAGACCCTTAGGGACCAAGAGGGGAGAACAAGGCAGCGAGGGAGGGGAGGGGGCCAAAGGACAAAACTCCATCAGTAAAACAGCATCTGTCGATTGTCTCGTGCTACCAGGGCGTTTCCCACAGCTTTCACGTGGTTAAAGGACAGCCAGCACGTCCATGTTAACCCAGCCTTCTTGGGCCAAACAGTGAGAAGGCCAAACCAGAAGCACGCCTTCACCGCGAGAGCTGCTGAAGAGGACATTGGGGATAGAATCCACCTTTGCTGAAACCCTGGGGGCAAGTGGGGAGTTGCTCAGATACCACAGTGACGGTCACCATCGATTAGATAGATAGATAGATAGATAGATAGATAGATAGATAGATAGAGGGGATGTATGGAGACAGACAGATAGATAGATAGATAGATAGATAGATAAGAAATTCTTTCTGCTAATGTAAGTCCTGTTGATGAGGGTCACCACTTATAATCTGACAGGAACTTCCATCCATCCATCCATCCATCTACCCATCTCCATCCTCTCTATCCATCTAGCTTCCTCCACACACACCCACATTTGGGTCTATCATTCTACCCCATATGTACCCGTCCATCTATCTATAGACCACTGCCACCAGGGTTGGTCCCTTTGTGCTCCCCTGCCCGTCTGTCCATCTCCACCTGCCTCCTCTTGCCTTCTCCTTCGATTGTGAGCTCTTCAGTGTAGGGATCCTGGAGTTTATACAGCACCTTGGGCTGTGGACTGCTGGCCCATGACGGTAACACCACCTACCCATCAATACTTATCTCTCCATCTGGGCTAGCGATCTACCCTTCCCCCTTATAGACCCTCACAATCTAGATACGGTTTTTCAAAAGTGCCCCTGCCTGTAGGCACTCGGGATGCCAGGGACCCTGCGTTTGGAAGTTCCCTCGCCCACCCATTGCGTGAACCCATCCAGCTCCGACGACGTAAGATCTTCCCCTCCCCACCCAGTTGCATAGCAGTCAGGGCAGACTCTGGCCGTAGCAGGCCTCTTGCCGCGCTCCTAGGACGCTTGGCCCTTGAATACGGGCCGGGCTTGCTGACCATGAAACCCGACTCACTGCAAATAACATGCAGAAAACCCTCTCCCCAGTGCCGGGTAAACGGCGGCATGAGATTTTCCGGCCGGAATCCCCACGCGTGTAAATCGCGGTGTTCTGAGCGGCGGCCAGGCAGCGGGGACCTGCCGGCAGCTGGCTGGATTCCCGCAGGAGCGGGGGGCTCACTGCAGTATATCAGAATTGAAGGGTCTCTCTTTAAATAGTCTGTGGACCTTGTAGTGGGGTCTCATTTTCTTCTCTTCCAGAAGCCACCAGAACCCGGCCCGGGCCACAGGTAGTTGCGTCCTGTATATAAACACCAGAATTCGAGGAGGGACCTTCAAATTTTATACGTTGAGTACAGAGCGAAGACCTAGCAAGGCCGAGGCCGGGGCCGGCCAGCACCCCCCACCCTTCAGCTGGGTCACCCACCCGCCGATCCCATTGCCAGGGGCGGCAAGACCTGCTCACGCTGGAAATCCAGGCTCCTTTTAATGACTCGTTAGTGGCTGATGCAGACCCGAGAGGTCCAGCCGCATCAGCGGAAGGCGTTTTCGGTGCAACGTGCAACATCCGTTATTAACCCTTTATA